CCCCCTTGCCGTTTAAATATTCAGGCCATCCATGCTTGCTGTAAAACAAAAGCATTATGTCATCACCATATTTGCAGCAACGGAAGCTTTACAAATGGAGGGTGGCTTCACCCCCCCGCCCCCCTCGCGTGTTCAGGGCCATCCATGCCTGCCGTAAAAAAAGTAGCACGTCATCACAATGCTTGCAGTAAGGGAGGCCTATGCGGATCATTTATTTGCAAATTGGAGTGGGGCTGTGCCCCACCCTCACCCCCCTTTTTTTCTGACCTATACTGCCGAAAGCAGGGCGTGACCTTAACCTAGTAGCTCCAGGAGCCGCGCAAAAGAAATACCAGCGAGTCGCGTGTCTTACCAAGATTGGATGGCTCCTAAACCTTTGAAGTAACTCGTGCGAACTCCGTGAAAGTGGCCCCCAACACCGCAACAGACTTTATGTATGTGCTTCGGCAGGGCATGACCTAAACCTAGCAGACCCAAGGCAGCCTTGGAATGCAGAAACATCCCAGCATGTGGAGTGTTCTATTGCTCAGATAGCGCCGAGTGTCCTCATATTCTTGCTCAAAGTCGACTTGTAAAACATGTGATCAGTCAGACCGACGTTTCAGACGAGGCACGTTCCGCCTTGCATTGCCCCACTTGTTTCACCTGGCCCCTTTGCCCCACTTCTCCCCTCATAATGTGGCCCCTTCACTTCCTGTTCCAGAGGCTCCACACGTCATTTGAGGGCCCCAAAACGGACCCCTGCCCGACCTGTCCACTTGCCCAAATGTCCCCCCCCATGCGGTCGCAATCTTCAGGTACTTGCACTAGCGCCAGGGATGCTCTGCCTCGCATCGCGGGGCGATCCAAGTTTGCTTTTCTGCAGAAAAAAAGCAAACAACATGAACATGCGAAAGCGAAAATGGGCGCTCCGCAGCGCGCATCTTCAATGCACTTTTTCCCCCCAATTTTTCGGTGCTGTCGTTCAATTGGCAAGGCACGGGTAAGCAGAGGCATGAACAAGATTTGCCTTAGATGCCTCAGCCTTGGCAAGTCCAGGATTTCCTCTCGTACTACTTCGCATGGTTGGTGGTGAACTTAGTCAGAGTTCGCGTCAGCTGCGGCTGGGCAGTCATGGTACAGTCAGAGTTGGTGCTACCCACTCTTGATGTAGGTGGACCACCCGGACGAGCAGGCAAGACTCGCTTGGCACTGAAAGGCATGTCTTGACCAGATGCAGCTCTGATACCAATTCCTACTGATTGAAGGATTTAATAACTCTTTGGAGCCAGCTCTTTAATCGAAGCCGGTACGACTGCGTATCTTCCTTGCGCAGACACCAGCTGCTGGGGGGGGGCGTTGAGACTACTCCTTGGTGATCTGCAGCAAGAACACACGCGCGTACACATATCAGCTAAAGCTAAAGCACTCAGAATTGTTCAATTTGTTCATGATTACCCGTTGCGCTGACTTCCACCATCTTGAGTCTTGAGGCTGGTTGGGGCGTAATTGCAACAAAGAGCAACGGCAACAAGGCAGTCGGGTCACGCACACTAGGAAAGCCACTGCGTACGGCAGGGCGTGGAAAATGCCAACACGTTCTGAACGAGTCTGACGCGCACACGCGCGCGCAAACAAGCCTGCTCGTTCGACATCTTACTTGAGGACACAACCTTTGGCTCTGAGAGCCAGAGGCAACAACTACTGATTGTAACTGTGAAGGCGTAACAAATCTTCGTGTCAACATGTTCTGTGCTGACACTTTGTTCTGCTCCAGGCTGCGTTGCTGAAGCATGGTGGGCCTCCTTCACAGGACAAACTTGAGTGGGCCCTAAAAATTATCTGGTGCTGCAATGCAGCAATATGAGCCGATTCCAGTGGTTGGTAAGATCTGACTCGAAGGATTTGGTCTTTACTTTGACCGTGCTCCACATCATGCAGCCTTGAAGCGTTTTGCCAGCTTCCTATGTCGCTGTTGCAGGAAATGGTGAAGCTCCCGCCTCAGGATGTGCCTGTGCCTTGATGATAGCCTTTGAAACGTTGCGGGGGGATGCTAGGGACTTAGATGACCTGCATTTTGGCAGGTTGTGGTCCAGCGCCATCGGCCAAAACAATACCACAACCCTGATGAGGCCAGCTGCATTGACGTGTTGCGACTTCCTTTCGAGAGGTGTACCTGCGCTGGAGGTTAATCTGTGCGCTGGCGGAATTGGAGGAGCGCATGTTGCAGATGAGCTTGTGGGCTTTCGCCTTTCTTACCCCTCAAATGCAAGGCACGATAGGACGAGCAGCACTACATACTTGTACTTCCCAACAACAGCCCAATTTTGGCAGCTACCCCACATAGAGATCACCCTTTCTTGGGGCAGCTGTCAGAGCAGGTTGGCCCAGCCGAGGGAAGCAAAGCAGCGCTCCTGTTTCCGGGCCAGGGCTCCCAATTCGCAGCTTGCCTCACCTGGGACCTGGATCTGGAAGGCAGAGATAGGGATTAGAGGGGGGGTGAAAAGGGGTTCTGCAGGTATTGGGAGATGTGTAGAAAGTGCGTCATGCCGCCATGCGATTACGTTCAAAAGCTGCTATGAGCTCAAGGTTGGAATGCTTGCCAAGTGCAAAGACAACCCCACGGTGCAAAAGATGATTTCATCCGCGAACGACATCCTTGGATATGATTTGTTGGAGGCCGCCCTTCATTCTGCCAAGTTCTGCTAGTTCTAGAGACAGATATTAGCAGGTGAACAGGTACAACCCGGAATGAATTGCTGTCGGTAGTTGGTAGGCACGTTGAGTTGAGCACCATGCAGGATTGCACGAATGTTGGTCGTGTTAGATGCAACTAGGGTGTGTTGAGCGTGCGCGTGTTGAGAATGCTGGGGGGCCGTGTTGGGAACGACCGAGGGGCGTGTTGGGAACGGGCAGGGGGCGAGACGGGAACAGTACAGGTAGTTGTGTTAGCAGCGCGTGTCGGGAACATGCGAGCCGGTGCTTTATACAACTTAGGTGAATATTCTTGTTCAGTGCTGCATGCCAGACCAGGCTGGTTAGGATTATTGCATCCTAGAGCTGCAAACTCTACAGCCAAAACCCCTACAACGCTACCTTCAACTTCAACCCGTAAAATACGACTCTCCAAGAAGTCAGGCCCTGGCTGCGCCCAACTGATGCCTTGCTTAGGTAGACCCCTGACCCAGTGATAGTGAAATCATGGGAGTATACAAGAGGGCCCTCCCCTAAAATCACCCTAAACCCTAAGCCCTAAATCCTAAACTCTACACCCTAAATCCTAAACTCTACTATTATCCCCTATAGTCACCCTAAACTCTAAACCCTAAATCCTAAACCCTAAACCCCACTGTTACCCCCTATAGCCGCCCTAAACCCTAAACCAGCGTCCACCTTATGCCTTGCATGCCTAGCTAGCTTCGAGCACATGGAAACAGCGGCTCCTCCCCTGCCGTTCCTGACTCACCCCCCCTCCGTTCCTGACTCACCCCCCCCACGTGTTCAACACGCACCTGCGCCGTTCCCAACACGCCTTTCGGCTGTTCTCGACACGCCCTTCGGCTGTTCCCAACACACCCTTCACCGACTCGCCCTTCATCCGGGATTGCACCGCCACATGCATTTTTGGTTTTGTTTTGCTCTAGAGGCGAGAACAAAGGTGGCTCCAAGCATCTCGCCCTGTCAAACTGAAACACATGTCCCGCAGATCCTGCCCCGCTTCTGAAACAGCGGTGCTCCGCGTAAGCTGCGAGTTGCAGCAACTGCCACTTTTGCGGCTTTCTTTTTGAGGAGGGTCATCACCTCGGCAGCTGTACTGGGCACGGAATGACGCGGACAGGAAATCTGAATTATAAAAGCGATATTCTCGAATACAAAGAAAGGGATGAAGGGAACTTAAAGCAGCAGGAAAATGGATTCGGCTTTGCAGGTGTGTCTGCAAGGGCCAGAGGAGAAGCTGAGCCAGACCAGCATTTGCCAGCCGGCCGTGTTTCTGGCAGGCAGGCAAGCCTGTATTCGATTATTATTGCAGGTAGCAGCCAGGTAGCAGCCAGGTAGCACCCAGGTAGCACCCAGGTAGCAGTTGTGAGAGGTATGGCAGCCCTGGAAGTTCTACGAGAAACACGCCCAGAAGCTGTGAACAAACCGCGGTCAGTGGCTGGCCTGTCGCACCTTTGCCAAATCGTTTGGAATTGAGTTTGCTACGCTGGGCTTCTCAAGGTGGGCAGATTTCGCAAGATCTGCATGTCCGAGATGGCTTCCACATGTTGTGCGGGAGTAGAGTATTTCAGGGCAAGGCGTCCCTTCTAAGGTTGGGCGAGTATTGCGCACTGTGTGCTGCCGGAGTCTTTGAGTTTGAAGATGCCATGAAGCTTGTCATGATCCGAGGCCTAATGCCATGTACATTAGGCCTGGTAAGTTCTGAAGCAGCGCCTTTCGAACAGGTGCGGCCATGGCTGAAGCTGCTGCATCCCGACCACAGGCCAGGAATGGCAAGTGCGGAGCTGCAAGTGAATGCGAGGTGAAAGTGAGTGAAGTTTGGGAGGTGGGAGTTTGGACCTGAATCGAGGCCATGGTGTCCATCGCCGGGTTGGCAGAAGACGTGGTCACCGAGCTCTGCAAGCGTGCTGTGACAGCTTCAGGCGAGGGTGAAGTCTGCCAGATTGCGAGCTCAGCTTGCACTTAAAGCCTGGATGTCGCTAGCAAACAGGCATGACACGACTTAGCATGCTTCTCAAGTGGCGAGCATGCTACAGCAATTTCGGCAATTGAGGAACGTCCTGTTCAAGAAAGGGTTTGCGTGTGCGGGGACGAAAGCGGCGATTGACAAGTTAAAGGAGGCAGCGGAGAAGGAGAAGGCAATGCAGGCCTGCCGAACAGAACATGAGCCCCAGAAAGCCAAGCAAGCCAAGCAGGGGATGTAGCTGCTCTCCTCCAAAGTGCGAGGCGAAGTTGATCAAAACATCTGGCGGATTCCACACAGCGCCTCATCTTGCACAATCAGAAGTGAGTTTGCTTTCGGTGCCTCATCTCTTTTTTTCAGACTTTCCCTTGCTGTCCGCAAATTTTAGCGATCTCTGCAAGGCAACCAAGTTGCCCAGCAGTAAAGAAAGCATATCCAGGATTTGTCTCCTCCTTGCCAAACGGTGGTATGGAGTGGTCTGCCATGTTGTGATGTTATAGTGACTGTACTTGTTGTATTGTGTTGCTGTCCCCCCACCGTCGGCGTCCTCATCCTCTTCATCATGCATCAACAGCATCAGCTTTCTTACAGACGTTTCTCCGTTGCAAGAACATGAAATACAATGGGCGACGTTGTTGCCGTCATGTTGCATTCTGTTTAATGTACAGGGCCCCCCGGCCCCCCTCGCCCCCCCTCCCCAACAATAGTGGGCCTCCAGAAATTTAAAGACAGGTGTCCTGAATAAGGCCATCGCGGTACTCAGGGCCCTGAGGAGGCCTTGGGGATTACTTTAAAAGGGGATGGTTTGGATTCGATTAGGGGCCCGAAGCCAAAACAGATGGAAGAGGGTCGTGAAACAATAGGCCGAAACTGTTAAAGCGGCGGCCAACAATCATTAAAGAGAGTCTCTTGGCAAAAGCGAGTGCACCATTAGGTGTAAGGCTTAACGTGTTGAACCTGATTTCAAAGTCTTGCTTTGTAGCTTGTCCTCTCTTAGCTGTGGTTGAGTGTTGATTGAAAATACTTGTCGGGAACCTGTTTCCTCGTGCCTTTCCAGTTTGGTGTCAGGCATTCTCGACACTGCCTGACGTGAAAACTCGGAATGAATTCGATGCAAGCTATGGGCGCAGCTTGAGGAATGCAATCGCGTTGCCTTCATATGATTCATATGTGAGTAAATCGTGGACACCCTCTTTGCCAGCTCCAAGGTTTGTATTCATAACTTGTAGCTTGTAACTTATCACTTCAAGTCTAGAGACCGCGGCATCAGTTTCAGCTAAACAAAAGTAGTAGTAGTAGTAGTAGTAGTAGTAGTAGTAGTAGTTG